CTCCGCCCCGCCGCCCCTCAGTTTACCATTGTCTCGCGCTCAGTGACTACCCCCACATCAATTCTTCTCGCGGATTTTCAGTGTTTTGTTGGATTTTTGGTGATTTGTCTATACAATTTGTTATTATATATCTCACCATGGGTCCCAAGAAAGCCAGTGGTAAGGATAAAGAACGGTACACGTGTTGTTGAACTTTGTACGCAGTACAACAAAGCCACATCAACAATATGCACTATACTTAAGAAGAAAAATAAGATTATGGGTGCTAAAGTGGCAAAAGGAGTAAGAACATTAACGGCACAAAGACCACAAATACTTGAAGAAGTGGAAAAGTTGTTATTAATTTGGATACACGACAAGGAGTTGAGGGGTGATAGTGTTTCGGAGGCCATTATTTGTGAGAAAGCCAGGGTGTTGCACGAAGACCTTCTAAAGAATACCCCTGCAACGAGTGATGCAGATAAGAAAGAGTTTAAGGCAAGCAGGGGCTGGTTTGAAAAATTTAGAAAGAGAAGTGGTATCCATAGTGTTACAAGGCATGGGGTTATGTGATGTGATTATGGAAGGGGACTCCCCTTCCAAACAGTAACTCCTCTCCTCCTCCCCCCTCCTCACCATCTTCCATACGCCTACAGCACTCAACAGCAAGGTAAGTAATAACTGGAACACAGTTTTGTAGGTTTATTTAGATGAATTAGGTATAAAAATTTAGTTTGATGTGGGGTTTTTGGGGTAGTCAGGAACGGATTAATTCATTTCCCTTTATTTCTTATGGGGAAATTAACTTTGGAATGCGAGGCGTCTCCAGGAACGGATTAAACTCGTATTCTGAGGTATGCCTGTACATGGAAAATACTGGAGGGCCAGGTCCCTAATCTACACAGTAAAATAACAACGTACTGGAGTGAACGATATGGAAGAAAATGCAAGATTGAACCAGTGAAGAGCAGGGGTGCCATAGGCACAATCAGAGAGCACTATAAATATCAGAGATCCGCGGTTGTTCAACGTCCTCCCAGCAACTATAAGAAATATTGCCGGAACAACCGTGGACATCTTCAAGAGAAAACTGGACTGTTTTCTTAGAGAAGTTCCGGATCAGCCGGGCTGTGGTGGGTATGTGGGCCTGCGGGCTGCTCCAAACAACAGCCTAGTGGACCAAACTCTCACAAGTCAAGCCTAGCCTCGGGCCGGGCTTGGGGAGTAGAATAACTCCCAGAACCCCATCAAGCAGGTATCATCCATCATCCATCCATCCAGTCCCCCTCATCCATCCATCCAGTCCCCCTCATCCATCCATCCAGTCCCCCCTCATCATCCATCCATCCAATCCCCCCAACCATCCATCCATCCAGTCCCCCAACCATCCATCCATCCTGTCCCCAAACCATCCATCCATCCAGACCCCCTCATCATCCATCCATCCAGTCCCCCTCATCATCCATCCATCCAGTCCCCCTCATCATCCATCCATCCAGCCCCCCTCATCATCCATCCATCCAGTCCCCCTCATCATCCATCCATCCAGTCCCCCTCATCATCCATCCATCCAGTCCCCCTCATCATCCATCTATCCAGTCCCCCTCATCATCCATCCATCCAGTCCCCCTCATCATCCATCCATCCAGCCCCCCTCATCATCCATCCATCCAGTCTCCCTCATCATCCATCCATCCAGTCCCCCTCATCATCCATCCATCCAGTCCCCCTCATCATCCATCCATCCATCCAGTCCCCCTCATCATCCATCCATCCATCCATCCAGTCCCCCTCATCATCCATCCATCCAGTCCCCCTCATCATCCATCCAGTCCCCCTCATCATCCATCCATCCATCTAGTCCCCCACATCATCCATCCATCCATCCAGTCACCCTCATCATCCATCCATCCATCCACCCACCCTCATCATCCATCCATCCAGTCCCCCCTCATTATCCTAAAGACCTAAAGACAATGTCTGCCTGTCTCACATGTTGGGGGGGCAACGTTCACCCCACTGTCCCCCACCTCTAAAACCGTTGGGAGAGTCAAGTATCCTCTCATACCACTCACTTCCCAAACCTAATCCTATTTCACAGAAACAGAAAAATTTCTGTAATTCTCTCTACAGAGCAATCACAGACTTCTGACTAGTCTTAAATAATAGTCCATAGCAAGAGCTTTCATCCAACACCCCACAAGTGTATGTTAGTTTGAAAACTTCTTGACTAGAGTCCCTAGAGCGACTAGCCTACTCTAGAAAACTAGGAAGACTAGCCGAGGGAATCTACATTCCCTCACACTGTAATAACACCACAAACAGTATTGTTGGAGGAGAAATATTAGTGCGTCTGGCCTTGAGGGCGGCAGCCATCAGCTGACTGTGTGAGGTCCTACGTCTTTGTGCCTTTACTCACCATACAAGCTTAGATGTACAGTTATGGTGAACAAAACATGTAAATACTTATATATAATGTCTGTATATAAAAGCAAAAACAGTATGGTGGGTGGAGAATGGTGGCAAGTCAGGTGAGGTGAGGGAGGGAGTGGCAGCCAGTGGCGTGCTGCCACTGCCACTCGGCATACCAACTTAGTGGTTCGATATGGTGAACACAAATGTAGATACTTATATATAGCGTCTGTATATAGTGAATAAAAGCAAAAACAGTATTGTGGGAGGAGAATGTGGGTGAGTCAGATGACTTGAGGAGGGGGGTGAGTGGCTGGCTGGTACACGGCGGTCACTCCTCGTTACTTTTTGACTCATAATAGCAACTTAGTGGTTCGTTATGGTGAACAAAACATGCAGATACTTATATATAACCTGTGTATATAGTGTAATAACCGACAAAGTATTTGTTCACTGTTTGATGAACATAATTGAATCAACAATATGCACACCATATTTTTGAGTACAGCGATGATTCACTCATTTTATTATATAAATATATCACACTACACACTATTGAATAATATTACAGCAAAAAAACTACGAAAAATCAGAGACATTGAAATAATTAGGTAATTATCTCTTTGTGGCAACTCCGGCCTGACAGCTGGCGATCAACAGACCGCCTGGGACGCACGCTGAGTCAGCGCCTATTTTTTGCCAGAATTCCTCGCCCTATAGCGAGCAATATATGCCACTTACGACTTTTTATCATTTTTTCCTGTGATCAGTGAACACAAATTAACAGGTTAGGAAGAAAAAATAATTTTTTTTTTTTTTTTTTTTTTGGTATGCGCCTGTGGGTGTCAAATGGTATATAGCTATGCGCCAACTCTTCATAAGGTCAAGTACAGCTGACAACAGTAAAACAAAACATTCATAATAATTACATATAATTACATTATAAAATTTCATATTGATGTTTTTCAAGGGTGGAACGGATTAATTGTATTTCTATTATTTTAAATGGGGAAATTCGGTTCGCAAGACGAGTGTGTCACACGACGAGATTGGTGCCGGAACGGATTAAATTTGTTAACCGAGGTTCCTCTGTATGTAGTGAATAAAAGCAAAAACAGTATGTGGGAGGAGGAGGAGTGTTGGCGAGTAAGGTGAGGCAAGGGAGGGAAGGTGGTGGCGTTTGCTGGCTGCTGTGTAGCGGGCCACTTTTCGTTAGTACTGTCTCGCTCGATTATCGGGAGTATATGGGAAGGACCCCCAGCCGGATAATCATGTGTTCCAGATAATAGTACTTTTTCACCTCCGAGTCCAAAACTAACCATTTCCAACTATTTTTATACTACAAACAACATAATTTGAATTGCCTTGCCACATATAATTATTTAATATTCAACTAGAAACCAACTTGCCTTGTTGGTGTTCGTCTTCTTGATTGATGCCACACATCTTGAAGTTAAGAATTCTTGATAATTTACGTAGCCTATACTAACACAACACTAAAATTAACACTTAAAATTACTGTACAGTTCATTAAGCAAAGTTAGTTTTGACTGCAAGCTGTGGAAGCCTCACTGGTTGAAGGCATCTGGCTTGCCTGTGAGGCCTCACTTGTTGAAGGCATCTGGCTTGCCTGTGATGCCTCACTGGTTGAAGGTGTTTGGCTTGATTTTCGTACCATATAAGAATAAAGTGTAGCTTGCCTTCTGTGTTCACTGCCCTGTTGTATGATCAGCTCTTTGGTTCGCCTCAGGTACTGATAAATGTTTCCAACTTCTGGATGAGCACAGTTGGATGAAAAATTAATTAACAAGTCATCAGAAGACATGAGTTCACTGTATTTTGTAGCCATTGGTGTTGGTTCTTCACTTCCTTCTTCATCCTCCATCTCTACGTCGACCTCACCAGTAATAGACTGGAATAGTGTTTTTGTTCCTAGTTTCTGTAATCTGTTGGTTGAGTGAGTGAGAATTTGTCACAGAATTTCAGCAGTTTTGACCTGTGGTTTGTTTCATGTTGGTTTCCTGCTGTAATATTATTGTTCGTCATTCTCCATCTTAAACTGGGTAAATTGAAGTGTCCAAGAAAGATAATATTTGGTACTGGGTTTGCTAGATTATAAAGGATATTCTCTATTTTGTACATCTGCTCTGTAAATTCCTCAACATCTGGCAGTTGTGTATACTATATTAGAATAATAATTAGGTTTATTTTTTCTACCTTGATTCCAAGTACCACCTCATTGGTTGAGTTCAGGAGCTCTGTGCATACCAGTTCTTCTTTAATATACAGACCTACTTCTCCATTTGACCTAATTTCTCTTATCACATCTATATACAGTACTGTAGATAATAATTTTGGATCTAGATTTCACTATCTTGATATTTTTAAATTATTTATGAATTAGATTTTATATTGATAGCATTTTGAGTGTAATGTTGGATAATATAGCAATATATTTAGTGAAGTTAGCTAGCTTTTGGCCTGAACTGTGTACAGTAACCCCCAGTGGCAGTTTTGTGTATCTAAGCTTATCAGTAATAAGTTTATCAGAAATATGAAGAGACCTTACTGTTGTGAACTGATTTGTTTACTTTGATGCAACTTTACAGTGAGGGAGGAGAAGAAGGAGCTGGACAAGCAGTATGATAAGAGTGAAAATGACCTGAAGGCCCTGCAGAGTGTGGGCCAGATTGTTGGTGAAGTTCTCAAGCAGCTCACTGAAGAAAAGTTCATTGTGAAAGCTACAAATGGACCTCGCTATGTTGTGGGCTGCAGACGCCAGCTTGACAAGGGCAAACTTAAGGCGAGTGTGAAGTATTCTTCACTTATGTTTTATGTTAATATTATGTTTTATATTGATGATAAACTTTTTCCGGGAGTGGGGGTTGCCCCATCGGCTCTCAGCAGCTAATGGATTGATATCCATTATATTAGTCTAGAGCATCAGTTAATTGGAGTTCTTTGCTTACCGGGAACTATGAACCAGAACCTGCTTCCCTCAGAGAGGCGAAGGGAGCAATGGTTTATGAGCACTCCACTTTGTGAGAGTATAGTCATGTCTGCGATTAACCCTTAGACCGCGCAATACATACATACAGTGGCACCTCGACTTACGATTGCCCTGACTTACGATAATTTCCAGTTACAATGTAAATTTCATCAAAAAATGCGACTCGACTTACGATAGTGTCGTCGACTAACACTATTTGTTGGTTCACGTTTGGGTCGACCGAGCACATGGTTCCCGGTTACGCGGGCCAACCTGCCTCAGTTTACTAGAGCTGCCTGCTTAGTGACAATCACGCCTATAAGAAATTCCAATCGGAGGGTTCGGGTCACTCGGTGCTCTACCATTCAGTTCCATTTGGACTGTTCTCTAGCTGTTCTTTGCCGGAACCACAGGGTTTCTCTTAGGTGTTGACCTTTGGGGTTGGTCCCTTAGAGTGGCTCGTTTGCTGGATTCTCGGGGTTTGGCTAACCGTGAGGTTCATGTCCGGGGTGTGTCCTACGTCCTGGCGGACGGCTGTCTCGGTTCATTCCTCTGTTCGCGGATTGGCCAGTCGTCGCCGATTCGTTTCGTTGGCTCTGCTGGACGTATGGACTCCTGGCCATGGACGTCTTCGAGTCGGCGTGGTCTAGGCGTCGCCCATTCTATGTGGCGCCCTTACCCGCCTGCGAGGCGTTCACGGTGGATGTCTTTCGGCAGGACTGGTCAAGGTGGGGGTACCTGTTCCTCTTCTCCCGGTCCAGCTGTTGCTTTGGTTTTTGGTTCGGTTGGAGCCCATTCCCACGAGAGTAGTCTTTATGGTCCCTTCGTGGCCGGCCCAGCAGTATTTTCAGATGCTGCTTGATAGGTGTCCGAACCCGGGGCGTTTTCCCGCGGCTCCGCCTCTTTCGGCAGGTCGGACCGGTCCTGTACGTGACTGGTTCAGCCTTCTCCTCGGCTCTTCGCGTCTGGTATTTTGACGCGGGTATCACCATCTCTGTGGTGATCAGGTGGCTTTGTTGATGGTGGCCCACCTGCGAACTTCGTCTTGGCGACAGTAGGATGTTCCTGGTGTTTCTATGCACCTTTTTTCTTGCTCTTTGTAAGTTGTCTTCTCTTTTGCATCGGGTTGCTTTGTCCTTTCTTGGGGTTTCAGGACTACAGTTATTTGATGTTTCTTACTGTCGCCTCGTTTTGTGCTGCGCTGGCGGAGCCGCTCCGGTTTGCGTTCGGGGTGGACGTCACATCTGTCCCGTTCCGTATGCTTTCTCGTGTTTTGTTTCACCTCCGGCCTGCTCATGCATCGCGTGAGCCGTCCTGGTTCTTGATCAGGGTGCCTTCTTATCTTCTCCTCAGCTTGTGGTAGCCCCTTCGGTTCAGGTTTCTGCTCTTTGGTACTGGTGGTAGGTTTGTACGTTTGCAGCCTTTCTCCGTCCTTCTGGTGACGGTCGAGACTGCTGCTTTCCTGAGGGGTCCCTTGGGTTATTGATGCTTGATTGGTTTGGCCGGGGGTGCGTCCTGTGTTGTCCGGTTGCGCTTTTTTGCCGTTACCTGCATACCGTGTCTGGGGATGCGCTTTGGGTTGATCCGGTTCCCCTCGTTCCCTGTTTCAGGGCACGGGTCTCCCAGGTCGTCCGCAGAGTTAAGTTTTCCAGCCTGCGGTCTGTCCTTGTGCCTGTGCTGTTCGGACATTTGCAGCTTTCGCTGCTGTGTTGGTGACGTCTAGGGCTCCTTTCGGGCACAGGGATTTGAGGGTCGCACAAGTTCTTGGCCGCCCATTCTTTATGCGCGTCTGCTCCTGTGCGTTCTTGTTGCTTTGGGTTGCAGGTTGCAGCCTGTTGTCTCGACTTCGCGTTGCGGAGTTTGTGGCGGCTGCCTCCTGGGTCAGTCCTTTCTTTTCCTTCTCTTTGGGTATGAAGCTCCAGGGAGCCGTAGGGGCTCCCCACAGAAAACTAGCGTTGAATGTAATGAAACACCATTTTCTGGATGAGCCCCAGAGGCTCCCTGGCAACCCTCCCTCCCACCGGTCGGCGTTTTTTTTTCGTGTTGGTTGAAGCTTAGCTTCCGAACTGATGCTAGGCAGCCGGCGCAGTGTGGTCCGGGGCTCCCCCCTCCCCCTCTCGGGGCTGCACAGACGATCGGCGCGACAGTAAAGTGTGATGTTTGCTTGTTTCCTAAACTACATGGACCTCCTCTAGTTCAGTGGAAACCTGAGCCATATGCCATATCATGGCTGCTGTACCACAGACCGGCAGATGACACCAGGACAAGTTTCTTCACATCCCGAAAACACCTCACATCTGACCCCTTTGTGGAAACTATTGTAAAACTTCTCACTGGTTGTATTTTGTGAGCACTAAGTGTTTTAACTTCTTAAATTGATAAATACATGACTGATGTTTTTTCTTTATTTGTTTGATAATTATATTTTATGATGAGTCTAAACACGGAATACTTAATTGTGTGACATGTATAAAAACAGGATAGGAAATGACTGGCTTTGGTCAGACCCACCAGACCTCGGGCACCTATGAAATTGGCACTGCTTCCCTGATTATATCCTTGTTCATAAAATGTATAGTACCAGTTCATAACCGAGCGTATCTTTCATGACCATAAACTGCTGGCACTCCATGTGTATGCAGCACATTATTTACACCCATTCCCACTTTAGCATTCAAATTGTTAATAACATTGATTCTGCAACTTCTTGGCATCATCAACCTCACTTTAAATTACCCCAAATTTTCTCTTGTACAGTATTGTCTTTCACAATGTTCAATCACCACAGCCTCTTTAGTTTTATATTTGAATTTCACACACAAGCCCCTTGAACTTCACAACACGGTTACCTTACCTTGAAGTGTTTCCGGAGCTTAGCGTGCCTATGGCCCGGTAGTCGACCAGGCCTGTCATTTCGGTCATTTACTGCTCTGTACTACTTTTTGTTTTGAATTAAAACATACAGTATTCCTTCACTCCTACTTCTATAATCTTTACCCCATTGCATTTTTCATTTTCAGGACATTTAAGCTTTGTCTTATATAAACTTAGCACATCAAATCTTTCACCATTTCCATCTTCAGTTTTCATTTACTCACATCACATTCCTCAGTCATTACCAATTTGTAATTCACATGAAGTAATTGTGAGGTTTGATGTTATAGTCTGGTACCCGGGTGGCACTGGACATGACGACTCTGACGATCATGAGATACCTGCCACGTGAAGTTGACCCTCTTGTGTACAACATGAGCCACGAAGATCCTGGTGATGTCACTTACAACAAAATTGGTGGTTTGGCTGAACAGATCCGAGAGCTTCGAGAGGTAAGAAATGGTAGTACTGTATGAACACTTATTACCAACACCTATTGTTAAATTCCTCAGTTATGTGTTTAAATATCCTAGATAGGAAAAACAGGCGCAGTGGAGGAAAACAGGAAGGTAAGACAAGCAATAAAAACTAAATATCTTTACCAAAATCTATGAACTAAGAGAATGTTGCTGTCTGATTGTAATGAAAAATGACACAAGGAAAATAAAACAATTAACAGTCAGGGGGGTATCGGTTAATGTAAAAATAGCCTAAACTAATAGCAAAATAGGAATAAAACAAGTGAAAATACTTAAGTTCTATCAAAATACCAACAGCCGACCTTTAACAGAGAACAATGTGTACAGTTTAGAAAACCAATTCTTTCAAAGTTCTATGCAGTTTCAATACTTGCTGCCCTAAGTGTCTATTCAAGTTGCTATGAATGTCCTGTCTTTAATTGTTCGACTGATCCAAATCTGTTCCTGGCTTTATATATCGATTTCTTAATGATGGGACCTCCCAATCACTGGTGTCGACAGAATAATCTGGACATTTACCATAGAAAACGTTCGTCTGTGCGTGCCTGGGAACTCGGGTTGGCAAGGGGAACCTGTCTAACCCTATCCAATTGTAACCACTATAATGAATATATACAAGTAGTAAAATGAAAGATGACTATATAATGATTCCTTTGCTCATTTCTTCAATCTTGATGCTAAGCTCCTTGGTTTGGAATCTTTAGTTATACACAACCATATTGGGATATGGTTTTGGTTATGTAGAAATAGGAATTTGTCCCAATATGAATGACAACAATATAAAGGGAATGCATCTGATTTTGTGAGTACTATTAGTTATGTAAATTTTAAACTTGGTATCAGTGTAATGTACGCATAGTCATCTTGAGGCTTGAACACTTTTCTGGTTGTGTTTATAGCCAGTAACAGTAATGAAACAAATATGTCCAACATATTGGCCAATATTTTTTTTTTTTCAAATTTTCAAAGGGGTGGGTTAACTTACCTTACCTTGCAATGATTTCAAGGCTCAACGTTCCCGTGGCCCGGTCCTCAACCAGGCCTCCTGGTTGCTGGACTGGTCAACCAGACTGTTGGACACAGCTCCTCGCAGCCTGAAGATAGATAGATAGATATATATATATATATATATATATATATATATATACATATATATATATATATATATATATATATATATATATATATATATATATATATATATATATATATATATATATATATATATATATATATATATATATATATATATATATATATATATGTCGTACCTAGTAGCCAGAACACACTTCTCAGCCTACTATGCAAGGCCCGATTTGCCTAATAAGCCAAGTTTTAATGAATTAATATATTTTCTCTAATTTTTTTCTGATGAAATGATAAAGCTATCCATTTCATTATGTATGAGGTCAATTTTTTTTAATTGGCGTTAAAATTAACGTAGATATATGACTGAACCTAATCAACCCTACGTAACCTAACCTAACCAATCTTTATAGGTTTGGTTAGGTTAGGTAGCTGAAAAAGTTAGGTTAGGTTAGGTAGGTTAGGTAGTCGAAAAACAATTAATTCATGAAAACTTGGCTTATTAGGCAAATCGGTCCTTGCATAGTACGCTGAGAAGTGCGTTCTGGCTACTAGGTACGACATATATATATATATATATATATATATATATATATGCGAACAAGCCTGAATGGTCCCCAGGACAATATGCAACTGAAAGAGGTGTGCAACTCACTTCTGGGGTGTGAGTTTTCAGTTATATATATATATATATATATATATATATATATATATATATATATATATATATATATATATATATATATATATATATATATATATATTATTAGTATATTTTGGTAACAGTCTTTCCTGTAGACATATATTATTAAATATGACCGAAAAAGTAAGATTAATAATTCTAACACGAATTTTCTCAATCTTTCGTACATTACGCTTCACTGTTGGAGGTAAATCAAAATTAATTCTCCAAAATTCATTTTTATTTCTAGTCTGATGCGACACGGGCGCGTTTCGTAAAATTTATTACATTTTCAAAGACTTTAGTTCACAAATACACAACTGAATAGAACTTACGTATCTCCGATTTTATATCTACATTTGAGTGAGGGGGGAGGGGTGATGTGGCATTAACACAAGACAGAACAAGAGGGGATATTAATAGGGTATTAAAAGTATCAACACAAGACAGAACACAAACAATGGGTATTGAATAGAAGTGTTTGTAGAAAGCCTATTGGTCCATATTTCTTGATGCTTCTATATTGGAGCGGAGTCTTGAGGTGGGTAGAATATAGTTGTGCAATAATTGGCTGTTGATTGCTGGTGTTGACTTCTTGATGTGTAGTGCCTCGCAAACGTCAAGCCGCCTGCTATCGCTGTATCTATCGATGATTTCTGTGTTGTTTACTAGGATTTCTCTGGCGATGGTTTGGTTGTGGGAAGAGATTATATGTTCCTTAATGGAGCCCTGTTGCTTATGCATCGTTAAACGCCTAGAAAGAGATGTTGTTGTCTTGCCTATATACTGGGTTTTTTGGAGCTTACAGTCCCCAAGTGGGCATTTGAAGGCATAGACAACGTTAGTCTCTTTTAAAGCGTTCTGTTTTGTGTCTGGAGAGTTTCTCATGAGTAGGCTGGCCGTTTTTCTGGTTTTATAGTAAATCGTCAGTTGTATCCTCTGATTTTTGTCTGTAGGGATAACGTTTCTATTAACAATATCTTTCAGGACCCTTTCCTCCGTTTTATGAGCTGTGGAAAAGAAGTTCCTGTAAAATAGTCTAATAGGGGGTATAGGTGATGTGTTAGTTGTCTCTTCAGAGGTTGCATGGCTTTTCACTTTCCTTCTTATGATGTCTTCGACGAAACCATTGGAGAAGCCGTTATTGACTAGGACCTGCCTTACCCTACAGAGTTCTTCGTCGACTTGCTTCCATTCTGAGCTGTGGCTGAGAGCACGGTCGACATATGCGTTAACAACACTCCTCTTGTACCTGTCAGGGCAGTCGCTGTTGGCATTTAGGCACATTCCTATGTTTGTTTCCTTAGTGTAGACTGCAGTGTGGAAACCTCCGCCCTTTTCCATGACTGTTACATCTAGAAAGGGCAGCTTCCCATCCTTTTCCATCTCGTAAGTGAAACGCAGCACGGAACTCTGCTCAAATGCCTCCTTCAGCTCCTGCAGATGTCTGACATCAGGTACCTGTGTAAAAATGTCGTCAACATACCTGCAGTATATGGCCGGTTTCAAGTTCATGTCGACTAAGACTTTTTGCTCGATGGTACCCATATAGAAGTTTGCAAACAGGACACCTAGGGGAGAACCCATGGCGACCCCATCTACTTGCTTATACATGTGCCCATCCGGGCTCAAGAAGGGTGCCTCTTTAGTACAAGCTTGGAGTAGTTTCCTCAGAATATTTTCTGGTATGTCAAGAGGAGTACAGGCTGGATCACGATACACTCTGTCGGCTATCATTCCGATTGTCTCGTCCACAGGTACGTTGGTAAACAGCGATTCTACGTCCAACGAGGCTCTTATCCCTGTGGCCCGTGTGCCCCGCAGTAAGTCAACAAATATCTTTGGAGACTTCAGGCTGAAGGCGCAAGGAACATAAGGAGTCAGCAGGCCGTTGAGTCGCTTCGCCAGTCTGTACGTGGGTGTGGGTATCTGGCTAAAGATTGGCCGAAGTGGGTTTCCAGGCTTGTGCGTCTTGACATTTCCATACGCAAATCCAGGTTTATATTCCCCAATGTTTATATTCCTCACTCAAATGTAGATATAAAATCGGAGATACGTAAGTTCTATTCAGTTGTGTATTTGTGAACTAAAGTCTTTGAAAATGTAATAAGTTTTACGAAACGCGCCCGTGTCGCGTCAGACTAGAAATAAAAATGAATTTTGGAGAATTAATTTTTGATTTACCTCCAACAGTGAAGCGTAATGTACGAAAGATTGAGAAAATTCGTGTTAGAATTATTAATCTTACTTTTTCGGTCATATTTAATAATATATGTCTACAGGAAAGACTGCTACCAATATATATATATATATATATATATATATATATATATATATATATATATATATATATATATTTATATATATATATATATATATATATATATATATATATATATATATATATATATATATATATATATATATATATATATATATATATATATATATATATATATATATATATATATATATATATATATATATATATATATATATATATATATATATATATATATATATATATATATATATATATATATATATATATATATATATATATATATATATATATATATATGTCGTACCTAGTAGCCAGAACTCACTTTTTGGCCTACTATTCAAGGCCCGATTTGCCTAATAAGCCAAGTTTTCCTAAATTAATATATTTTCTCTAATTTTTTTCTTATGAAATGATAAAGCTACCCATTTCATTATGTATGAGATCAATTTCTTTTTATTGGAGTTAAAATTAACGTAGATATATGACCAAACCTAACCAACCCTACCTAACCTTACCTAACCAATCTTTATAGGTTAGGTTAGTTTAGGTAGCCGAAAAAGTTAGGTTAGGTTAGGTTAGGTAGGTTAGGTAGTCGAAAAAACAATTAATTCATGAAAACTTGGCTTATTAGGCAAATCGGGCCTTGGAAAGTAGGCTGAGAAGTGCGTTCTGGCTACTAGGTACGACATATATATATATATATATATATATATATATATATATATATATATATATATATATATATATGTCGTACCTAGTAGCCAGAACTCACTTCTCAGCCTACTATTCAAGGCCCGATTTGCCTAATAAGCCAAGTTTTCCTGAATTAATATATTTACTATAATTTTTTTCTTATGAAATGATAAAGCAACCCTTTTCTCTATGTATGAGGTCAATTTTTTTTTATTGGAGTTAAAATTA